AAAGTTATTGTTTACAGAAGTAATGGGGAATTCCATTTCTGTCCCTTATTTAGCATAATACAGTATCTAATGCAGTACACTATAATATAGTATAGCATATATTAGTATGGTACAGTGTGTAGCTTACAGTATACGTAAAAAAATCCCGTTGTTTTTACGGAAAGAAACTCCAAATCCCAGTCAACTTTACTGAAAATTACTAAACAAACAACCTCCAAATCCCAGTCATCTTTACTGAAAATTACTAAACAAACAACATTGTTTAGCTGTAAAAACCTCAGTATAAAACTGCCATTTAAATGTTTATTTCTGGAAATTCAACTCAATATTTTTATTATGTAGTGTATTTTGTAGTATTAGTAGTACTTATAGGTACAGTATGTGTATACAAGTTATTACATGATGTGACGTTTTGAAAGGTAGTTCTGAGAATTTGCATTCTAATCTAGGAAATGAAAAAACTAAATCTCCGAAGTCAAAATTAATTGGAGGAAAATCACGTTACGTGACCTTTTAGCTGACGAGTAACTCCACTGGACTCTGTTTGTACTGTGCTTTGAACATGAATCCTCTTCTGTGCGTTACCAGGAGGAGCTGGAACATCTCAACCAGGCCAGTGATGAGATCAACAAACTGGAGCTGCAGCTCGACGTGAGAAAGCTTCTCCTTTTTTTTTGTTTTGTTTTGTTTTAATAATAAGATAATATTTCCAAATATTCATTAACTGTTATAATAAGACAGAATCGACACATTTAAGTCACTAGCATGCTTTAAAGAGGATATAAAAAGGTTATTTGATGTCTAAATAAAATGTTAATAACATGCTTTTGTTAAAGAAAAACAATGGATTGAATACAGCCCATTTTTTATAAACTTGTTTAATGGCCATGTAAATGCTCATCTATTTAAAAAAATGTTCACACATTGAAATAAGGTGACGTATGCCATTCTGACATGTATGATAAACTAACAAGACAATCCACAGATCTCTTTTTTTTTTTCTTCGGTTGGTCTGTTATAGGCTGGAAGAGTCCCGATACAACTTATAGTACAAGATCAGAATCAGCGGTAGAAAATGGCTTACAGGAAACTTTCACCGAGATTTATGGAATTTATTGGAATTTTTCAAGACATTTCCAAAGCTCATTTGTTCTTAATTTGTTGCTTAGGTTTGGAAAGAAAAAAAGAAAAGGTGATTACTGGAGTTATGAATTTATGGTACTTAGATTGCTCTTGCTTAGATTGAACTGTTTTTATAAAAAATAATTTTTGCTCTTGAATCTTTAGGATGCTAGGTCCAGCTACAGGAGGATTCTGACTGATTCTGCAAGGAAACTGAACACTCAAGGCTCTCAGCTTGGCGCGTGCATCGAGAAAGCAAGACCCTACTATGAGGCTCGTAGACTTGCCAAAGAGGTGTGTAAAAAAAGAGGTATTTTTCCCACAAACACATACTGTATACCAAGGGTCAGCTACTTCAAGGGCACGTAGTAATACGAAGAGCTACTTGTCTGATACAGACCTCCTGAACAATGTAATAATAATTAGTTCTGGGACATCCAATAGCAGCCGCTCTCCTTAGCGTCGTCATTGCACCCCATTTGAATATCACTGCAAGAGTTAACTGATTCATAACGCACAGTAACAGTACAATTGTTGACTAGTTTTATTTGTACCCCTGAAATATTTATATATATATGTATAGAGTGTGTAACACCTACTTTTGGGCAAAGTTTTTGATTCGCGGGCCACAATTGGTCCTAAAATTTGACAGGCAGGCCGGGTCAGGAGCCATCTATGGTTGAAATGTGGCTATTGCAGAGAAAAGGCGGAAATATAATAATAATAATATATAATTAAAAAGCCAAACGGGCCGTATGTGGCCCCCGGGCCGTAATCTTATTCAGTATTTATAAATATATTTTTCTATCTGTTTTTCAACAAACATTTGTCTTTAATGTCCAATGTCAAAATCTGTGTCCATTTTAGAGTGAGGTCAAGTGGATTGGCACACAAACAGATAGCGGCTCCTTTACAGCTCCCCAAAAGGAAACAACTCTTTTGGATCCCAAAGGCTTGTTGTTTTAATAATTTAACAATTAGTATTTAAATGTGTGCCCTAATGCACAGTATATTTATTTATTTATTTATTCACCTAGTACTGCTCCGTCAAGACTCATTTGATGCACACAAACTCATGACATAAAATAACCCTATAAGTATTACAGTCAAAGATGTATCGTAAATAAATCATAAATATCAACTTTTCTGGTGCACATTTTCCCTCTGCGGTTAGGAAAGATTTAAAAAAACTGACTTCATAAGAAAAGATTTACTGATGCTTTCTGTTCCTCAGGCCCAGCAGGAGACCCAGAAGGCTGCTCTCAGGTATGAGAGGGCCGTGTCCATGCACTCTGCTGCCAGAGAGATGGTTTATGTGGCTGAGCAGGGTCTGCTGGCCGACAGGAACACAATGGATTCCACATGGCAGGAGATGCTGAACCACGCCACTGCCAAGGTACGTGCTCAGGCTTACCCTCAAATTTTGGTTTGGTTTGTTTTCTGTAACAGGAAATTCAACAGGAAGAAGGTGTTGTTTTTTTTTTTTTAGTTTGGAGGGTTGTTCCTGAAATGACAATTATGGGTACAATTAAATAAAGAAAACAATTCACATTTTCTGATGCTGTTTTAGCCATCCACAAACGCATCAGCTAACCTCTAAGGCAGGGGTGTCAAACAAACGGCATGCGGGCCAAAAATCGGTCCGCCATGGGGGTTCAATCCGGCCCACTTGATGAATTTTGAATGGCTGTCAAACTCATTTTGGTTCAGGATCAGTACAATCACACGGTAATAAATTATAATTTACAATAAGGCCATGTTTTTCCCCTTTGTTTTTATGCAAAGAAGTACAAGTTAATTAGATATTTATAATTATCTATTCATATTTAATACAGTTAATTAGATAGTTATAATTATCTATTCATATTTAATACAAAAAAATATCCTCAATATGAAGTGTTTGTGTGTTTATTTATATTTTATATTTAGTCATCAACTGGGCCAGATTAACCACTCTAGCGGGCCGGAAGTCATCAACCGGGCCAGATTAACCACTCTAGCGGGCCGTTTTTGGCCCACGGGCCATATGTTTGACACCCCTGTTCTACGGTTACAGAAAACTGGAGTAACTGGAGAAAACCCAGACAAACGTGCAAATCCTTGTGGCCGTTTTATCCGTATATCCTTCATGTAACTCTTTAGTTCTAATGCGCAGTGTTTAAAACCTAAGCAGCTGTGCTCTGTGTTACTGATCAGGTCAACGAGGCTGAAGAGGAGCGTCTCAACAGTGAGCGAGAACACCAGTACGTCACACATCTCTGCCAAGAGGCGGAGGCTCGAGTCCAGACTCTCCAGAAAGCCCTGAAGAAGGTCATCGTGAAGTCAAAACCGTACTTTGAGTTAAAGGCTCAATTCAACCACATCTTAGAGGTTTGTATTAGTAAAAAAAAAAGTCATTGGATGATTGAACAGATTCGTTCAAATGAGCTGTCCTTCGTCTGTTTTTTAGGAACACAAAGCTAAAGTGATACAACTGGAGGAACAGGTGGCTAAGGTAAAAACGCGTTACTCCGTGGCCCTGCGTAACCTGGAGCAGATCAGCGAGCAGATCCACGCAAGGCGCGGGCAGATCAGGGCCAGCGGGGGTCATTCGGAAGCCTTCGGTGGGCGGAGCTCCCCGGTAGGTGCTGAGGCTGACGTCAGAGGCGCTGCCGGGATTCACGTTCACAACTGCATGGCCGTCAGGGAGATCGAAGCGGACTGGGTGGACGAGAAAACGCGGCTCTGGGTCGAGAGGCACAGGGAGAGCGGATGGGGCCAGGGGGAGCAGACGGAGACGGAGCAGACCAGCTCCGACCACATGTCAGTCATCAGCCTGCAGACCATAGCCTCCGATCTAGAGAAGTATGACTCAGTGGAGCATCTGGGTGACCTGAGTGATGCTGGGAGCCTGCTGTGTGAGGAGTGGAGTCACAGGAAAAAGCCTAATGCCAGGCCGGTCAGCAGGGAGGTAGTGACCTTCAGGGACCAGCGGGGGACAGCTCAACAAGAGACTGGGCTGTTGAAAAAAGAAAAACGGCAGAGCTTTGTCAAGCAGCACCACAGAAGTGTTAGTCTATAGCTGCAGTTTCACTGCGTATTGCCAGTACCTTTTTAGCACCAGAAACCTTTGTGAAATACGCAAATAGTTCGGAAGCACACTGCATGTGTCAGCGTGTTACTGTTCTGCTGCTTGTCATGCACGTCTTATGTTTACAATGTTAACGTCGTGTCCAGGCGCCATTTTTTTTTAACTTTTGCTGGCCATAAATAACGTTAGTATTACATCCTAATACTGTAGCGCTCCGCAAAGTGAGCGATAGTAGACGGCGTGCTTCTTCGATGAAGCACCGTACTACTCTTTGTGCAGTAAATGGCTAGCCAATCAGCTGCGCTGTGTCGGTCTGATGAATAATTTAGAGTAAAAGCACTTGTTCCTTATACTCTTCAAAGTAGTCGCAAAGAATTCATAGTCAAACTTCCGTAAGAAGCGCGAGTCCTTCAAAGAATACACAAGTTTCGGATTCTCAAACGACTCGCGGATAACGCGTGATTTGAACGTGTGACGTAAAACTGAATCATAGTCATCGCTTATACACCCATGAATGACGCGAATCGGTAATTACGGACAGGTTCCGTGTTTTATTCCGCGTTGATTTTAAAACCAATAAAGCACAGTTTGTGCTTTCTTATCATCGAGCAAGAAATTAGGTTCAAATAGTTCCATTATTATGTGCTTTATTATCATTGAGCAAGAAATTAGGTTCAAATAGTTCCAAGGCGGGGGTGTCAAACATATGGCCCGTGGTCAGAAACCGGCACGTTAGGTTGTTCAGTCCGGCCCGCTTGATTAAATAAGTTAAAATAATTTTTAAAAATCTTCAAACACTTCATGTTCAGGATATTTTGGTACTTCATGTTCCGGATATTTTGGTAAAATAATAATTAATTAAATATGAATAAATAATAATAAAATCTAATATAGTTGTATTTCTTTGCATGGAAACAAAAACTTGCTGTTATTTATAGTTAATTATGTTATGATTTTATTGGTGCTGCCCACTTAACATCTAATCAGGTTGTATGCGGCCCATGACCGGCCCACTTCATCTAATCTAATCTAATCAGGTTGTATGCGGCCCATGAACCAAAATGAGTTTGACACCCCTGCTTTAAGGCTTCGTAACAAACTGTGTTACATTTTATTTAATGGGATTTTTAACTTAAATATTTTTCCGCATAGTAGAAATAACTTTTTCTTGATCTTTAGACAAAGCAAAAAAGCAGGCAAGTGCTAAAATTTAAATGGGGAATTTTTTTATTTTTTTTTATTTTCGAAATTCAATTAATTGAGTTGTATTTTTTTCCTATGACCTACTTTGCCTTGCTTGTTTACCTGTCAGTGTTCTGAGGAGGGGGGGGGGGGGGTTATGAGGTGTTCATAGCCGTCACCTCGGTGTACTTGATCACCCCTCGGTGATTTTGTTACATTGCTGTTTTGCACACTTTGTGTTGCTGGATCATTTCTAACAGGTTTCCTGTTTGCTGCTGAAACATTTTGTCATCTTATTTTAAAACCTTCTTTTTTCTTTTCTTTCTTTTTTTTTTTTAAATTAAAAGACCTCTATTTTTGACTGAACTCATTAAGAACCGAGGAAGTCGTTTCACCGGCGACGTCGTCGCTAAGTGAGGTCTGACTAATGTGTCGTCGTGTTACGAGACATTAGCTGTCGGCGGTCGGTGTCGCAGAATGGCTCTTCCCCTGAAAGAGAGAACTTTCCGGTCCTAATTGTTTCCATTTTGTCGGAGCAGCACCGTTGAACTAATTTGCCGCCCGTGAAGCCATTAATCCTTACTATTTTAGTAGGATCTCACGTTGTTGTTGTGCTCGGTCTAGTGTTGTGAGTGACGATGACGAATTAATTGATTTTACATTAAAATCAAGGTAATGTTACAAATGGTGCCACTTTGTGTCATTGTCCGCTGCAAGGTTGTGAGCTAGCAAGGTCGCTTCTGACCAATGCACGTTACTGCAGCCAGGTGGCTCAAGACGTAATGAGTTTCTTATTCAACATTGACAGATGATAAATGACATGTTAAAGTCATGCATAAAGGCTAAAATGTGAAAATGCTTTTATCATTTTCAGTGCGCCACCTATTGGGGAAACGTGGGTATTGCAGGGACAAGGCAGTATTATAATGATAATATAAATAAATGTTATAATTTGCAAAAGATTGGCGGGTCGGATTAAAAAGCTCAACGGGCCGCATACGGCCCCCGGGCCCTAGTTTGCCCATGCCTGGGTTAAGGTATTAGCTTAATTCACTGTACTGTAAAATCAACATAGCAATTTACATAGTGATCCTTCAGGCTCAGTGTTATTATTTATTTATTTGCATTCAGACAAACAATGAAAAAAAAAAAGTCAACATTTACACATGGTAACAGTAGACATCTCTGTCCACAGGAGGGCAGTAATGATTGCCAACATCATGAGTGTAGTGAAATGATACTGGCTTCTTCTATTGGATGTCATCAAGTCTACTTTTGTTGTTATGCTTTATTTATTTTTTTCCCTCTAAATGGGATTATAATTCCTAATGGGAACCATGTGACGTAGAAGAGTGGAACAAAGGTGGGTTGTAGTTTGTGACACCCATATGTCAGCAGCAGATTATTACGGTCCTTAAAAGTTGTGAGACGAGGGGGGCCTCAGCGGACGGGGCCGTGCCGAAGACGCTTGATGAAACGTGAGTTCTGGGGGAATTTTAAGATGACAAGTCAGTTCGTCTGATTTGTTGTTGTGTTTATTAAACCGTTCCCGGACCATTTTTTTGATTTGTGTCAGCACATATTCTCCATGGCAACAACCTTCAGAGGATGTTATATCGTTGGTACGTGGAGTGCCAGAATGCATAGGTAGATAGTTAGGGTCTGTTGCCACGCCGTCTCAGCTGGCTCGCTCCTGCCGCAGAAGTGACCACTGAACGCATCGGAAACCATTCGTGTGAACAACAAACCCCTGGTTCATCAGCCCGGGCCGCGGTGTTTCGTCACCGCTCTGTCGTTAGCTTCTGTTGTTCATGTGCCGGTTGTTGGTGGGTTCAACGGTTGACACAGGTCAGCGTGGTCACCCTGACCGCTCCGCTGCAAACTGCAATGCACTCTGGGTGTTCTATCAGAGCCAGCATTAGGAGCTACACCCCTCTCTCTCTCTCTCTCTCTCCACTGCCCCCATCTCACCTTTTATTTCTCTCTCTATCTCCCCTTTCTTCTCACCCCTTTTCTCTCCATCTTTTTTTTCTCCCCTTAGCTTCTCTCTCATCCCCTTCTCTCCCTTTCCCTCACTCCCTGCCTCTGCCCTTCACTTTCTCACCCTAATTCTCACCCCTTCTCTCAGTCTCCCTTTCGCTCTCACTATCACACACACTCTCTCCCCCTCTCTCTAGTCTTCCCTCACACTCTCTCGCTCAGTCTTTCTCCCTTTCTCTCTCCTTCTTTCTGACTATCCCTCTCTCACCTCTTTCTCTCGCTCCCCACTCTATCTGACTATCTCTCTCCCTCTCTCTGACTCTCTCTCTCTCCCTCCCTCTCTCTCTCCTTCTCTCCCCCTCTTTCTCCATCTCCCCACTCACTCTGACTATCTCTCTCTCTCTCCCCCTCTCTCACTCTCTCCCACTCTCTCTCTCCCTCTCTCTGACTATCCCTATATTGTTGGAATGGCTGCTGGTTCTGGTTGGTGGAATGACTCTCTCTCTCTGACTCTCTATGACTCTTCATCTGACTATATCTCTCCCTCTCTCTGACTCTCTCTCTCTCTCCCTCCCTCTCTCTCTCCTTCTCTCGCCCTCTCCCTCCCTCTCCCCCTTTTCTCTCACTCCCCCCTTCCCTCTCTCCCTCTCTCTGACTATCCCTATTTTTCTCTCTCACCTCTCTCTGTCCCTCCCTCTCTTTCTGACTCTCTCTCCCTCTCCTTCACCCTCTCTGCTGCAGCCCCTCAGCTCAGTGTCAGACCCGTGAGCGCAGCAGACGTTATCTCCGTCACCATCTCATCAGTTATTCTCCCTCCAACACAAAGGATCCACATTCCAGCAGAGACTCCTCCACAGCGGACTACTGCGTTCAGAACGCCGCGAATGAAGACAAGGGCGCAGACAGACACACTGCAGCATCCGTCCTGGATGGATTACTGCCGGCTGACGTTTCCCAGCCGTTTTCTTTTGCAACACGTGCGTTAATTGTACATTTCTTCTTTTTTTTTTTCTTTTTTTTTTAAATTTTTGCGGCAGAACAGACCGAGTGCGCGGGGCAGATGAAGGGCAGAGGAACGACAGGTGGACCCGGAGAAAGTGCGGCTCCTCTGGCGTCTCCTCCTGGAGCTCGGCGTGGATGGTGACACTATCTGTCGGAGGCTGTTATCACCTGTCTACATCCTTCTGCTCCACGCCTCATCAACATTATTGTATCCACTTTCACTGAACAGACTGTTATATTTATATTTAATTTAACATTTTAACTCCAGTGATTTTAGTTTTTTTTCTTTCTTTCTTTGGCTTATTCCCAGATTTCTAAGTGTATGATCATGAAAAACTACTGATTTTTCAAAATTATTATCAAACATAAAACAGCTTCATCCTTCATTCTAACATGAATGAAAAGCAAAATCTCTGGGAAGAAGTCCAAGGAACCGCTCATCTCCACCTGTGAAGGTGCACTCTCCGGAGTGGACGAAAAAAGGACGAAACAGTGACAGAGTCAACACCAGAACTTCAGTAAACAAGACAGTACCAGAGAGAACCCATCAGGCTCCGCCGAGCCTCCAGCGTCCAGCAGTAATGGCTCCGCTCTGCCGCTTCGTTTCTCGTTTCTCGGTGACACTGATCACCCTGTCTGTGCTCCTCTCCTGCTGCTGCCGCCCAGCTCTGGCAAAAAAGAAGCTCTACATCGGAGCCCTCTTCCCAATGAGTGGAGGTTGGCCAGGTGGACAAGCCTGTCTCCCTGCTGCCCAGATGGCACTCCAACTGGTGAATGAAAGAACAGACATCCTGCCGGACTATGAACTGGAGCTGATATACTACGACAGTAGGGTAAGTCCTTAGATGAAACTGTTGGCAGGAACTGTGTTGTTTTTGTTTTTTGTGATTCACACATCTCTAATCAAACAGGTCGTCATGCGGTGATGTGAGTGGGATTCGGTTTTTGCTTGAAAATGCCATGTTACAACTACTCAACAACACATTTCAGATCATATATCAGTGTGTCATACGCCACGGGTGTCAAACTCATCCTGTGTCATAAAAAACATTTGGACTTTATTATAAGGCAAATAAACACGTTTCAGCTGCGGGCCGCACAAAATGACTTGGCGGACCACATTTGGCCCGCGGGCCAGGGGTTTGACACATTTGTCATATACCAGAGGTGTCAAACTCATTTTCAGTTCAGTTACAGTTCCCCTTAAAGGGCTAGTTGTAACTGTAAGACTGTATATCTGTAGCTACACCGTAACGTAATACATGTTTCTGCAAGTTACTAATATTGTACATTGCTTTGTGTCATTAAAAAAAAAATTATCAAGTTAAAAAAAAATCAGCAACATGGACTTCATTATGAAAAGTCGATGGAAAAAAAAAAGACTCGGCGGACCACGTTTGGCCCGCGGGCCTTGAGTTTGGAGATGGAACAACAACAACAATGTGATTCATATTGTTGTTTTGATAAAAGCATAGACGACAAAGTAGGAAACTTGGCCATTAAAGTATTTTACCGTGTAGTACGTTTTACAGGCAACATCATTTAATTTAAACACCTGTCCTCAGAGCATAGGTCCAAACAACCCGGAGGTCGCTGCTTCACTTGTTTTACAGCACTGTAAACCACTGTATGCATGACTGATATAGATTTTTCTCCCCCTGCGGGCCGCCGCTACACGCTTCTCCTGCGTCTGCATTCGCATCACAACATTGCATAAATCATGTTGCGGTTGTCCTGTCTTACACTCGCATGAAATATTTGCATTTCCCCCATTCCTGATCCGTTTGTATTCACTGGGTGTAACGCGATCATATCGAGGGTGCATTTGTAGAGAAGTTCAGACACCAAGACAGATGCATATAATTCAATCGTTTTTTAACGCCGCCGCTCTTCAGCAACAGTTCTCCGTTATTAACAACTTTTCAATCGGGAAAGAAAATCAATCCTAAGCTCCATAACAGCTTCATCTCTAAACAAATGTGAAATATTGCAGAACAATCAATGTCAACAACCAATCAATATGACCTTAAGACAAAAAAAAATAACCCGCCATAAAACCAGAAAAATCCATTGACACCAGCTGTTGCCGGGGCTTGATTCACTCCTTGGTTCCTGCTGTTCCCATTACAGAATGTGATGTTGCCGCCAGGAGGAGGAGAAAGTACTGGAATCAACGTCATTGCAGGTTCTAAACAGTTGCGTCGTCAAATAGAATCTTCACCGCAGGGCGCCTTCGGATGACGTCCGCCGCTGCGGCGCCGCTAGCAGGCGTCCTTATGAGAACATTTAGCTATCAGTTAATTGCTTTGCCTAAGTCGTATTCAGCCTAGCGCATTTTTTACTCCCTGTCCTCATGATATATAGTATCATGATACTATTTATACACGTTTAGACCCTAAAACCTCACAGTTAGCTTAATAGAATTGTCACAAAGAAACTCTGGACATAAATCAAGGGAAGATTTTAGGGAAGACTTTTATTTCACAATGTCACTGCTGCAAACAGCCGAGCCATTCTGGTGCTCTTGCGCAACCGTGACTTGCAATAACAGTTGTCTATACCAGAAAGAGCAACGTCCGTTTTTCTTTTGTCGTCTAAGTTTGTCCGACCAACCAGCGACTGCTAATACGAACTAGACGAACTACGAACTACCACTCTCGTGGCTGTCGGTGTGAAAATTAAGGACGTGGTCGAGTTTG